GAATCGGTCTTTTTTAGCATCAGAAGTGGTACGCCAAAAACTTATCATACGTATGGACGGAACAAACTCGCTCATCCGATGTTTCCTATCGTATTTTCGTTTAGCAGCAGTAGAGGGCAGTGTCGTGGATATACTGACTACCCTGTTAATTATGCTCTCTCAACAAGGTAGTTTTCTGTTTTTGAAAAGTGCAAGTGAAGTACTTTAATATGGAATGGTAAAAAACTGCGGTACATCTATTAGACGATATCAGTTAAGTACTGGGCTCGTCATTCAAATATCAGTATTACGGCGTTGTTGGGCCCAGGTTTTTCCTTTCTTTTCACTATTTGCTTCTTCAGTATCTTCAAGTGTTACTTGTGGCAGGAATCCCCACAGCTGAGCATTGGTGTTTTTTTTTTCTTTCACGTTGTGATCAAAAGCATTTTACGTTTCCCAGCTACTTGTTTTGCTTTAAGACGAAAAATGATAATCTGGGACTTCTGTTCTGCTATGCGTGAAAGTATTACGAAGTTCGCGAAACAACATTCCATATGTTCTCGAGTGCCTGCATCACTTAAAAAGAAAAAAAACACTTTATCGCGCTGAGCGCACCCATAAGAAGATATTTTTCAGACAAAAAATTTTGTTTGAAAGTTCGATTAACGAGATTGCTCCCGGCGCTTCGTAACAAGATGCTACAGGGCGTGCCGCACAATATATCCACTTCCTTATTACAACTCTACTGCTGCTCCATTCGTTCATGTATGTTCAAAAATTAATTCAAAAAGATCTTTTAAAAAAGCGTATTGAAGTAGCTCTCCCTCCTGTTATGCAGATTCCAGTCCCTTTATATAGAGAAGGCAGTAGGAATTATCACGGATGATGTTAGCACACTGCTAGCGGCAAACAGTTGCTGAAAAGACTGTCCAGTGGCTCTCTCTTTCTCCTGAAAATTTCCGAGATCAAGCTTGTGACGCTTTCACGTGCAATGTATTAACATCAGTGTACAGTCCGTGTAGGAATTCGTTTTTCATTGCAAAATCGTATCTTGATTACTTGTTTTTATGCCAGTTGGGCGATTCAGCGAAAAAATTTTATACAAAAAAGAAAGAAAATTGTGGAAGTTTTTTATGCATGAATTTGGTAAATTACAGCTCGAAATGCTCGAATGTTCGGCAAAAGTGAAAAGTTTGTCACTGGAATATTAGCAGCGATTGTAGATGGAGCGATGGATGCTTCAGTAGTAGCACGCCTCATGGAAATGCTCTTCTTCATCATCAAATTTAGTGAGTTCTTACTGTTTACAAATTTAAAAACGTTGGTTTTCGAAAAATATAATCGCAATTCTTTCGAGGAAGAAAAAGCTGTGGATTCCTTAACAATGAAGAAAACATGTGATACTGGTCCTCTTTTAGAACAAATGATATTTTTGCTGGCAAATTGTTATATAGAATTATAATGAGGAAAGGAGCGATTTCACGTATCCCCTGCGACAGAGAATCCATTATCTTTAGAAGAGACCATAGCGAAGATGTCACCGAATATCTCAGCGAATAATCAGCACAGTAGAATGCTAGTTATGATAGTTATGAGTGCTCATATGCATATTTGTTAGCAAACGAATGGATACGGAGTTATTAGTCTCTGAGACTACTGGTAGAAATGAGAAAGAACAAAAGGACAAAATGGATTATTGAATGGTACCCACGCAGTGTCAGAAAAACACAAGAAAATCACCAGTGCGATGGAGAGATTTGTTCACACTGCTCAGCTGAACTATGCGGATGAGATACATGCGAAGTAGAGAAGGATGGAGAAATTGCCAGTTGTATTGGTGGCGTAAAATGCGATCAGAAACAGTAAAAGACTAAAGAGTCGAAATAAGTATCGGAATACTGCACTAATTCTATTCAGTAAGGTTTTTCATGGGGATTGAGGGATAGCAAAGTTGGGGTGAGATGGTGATTCTCAACAAGCATCAAAAGCATCTGGATACGGCTAAGGCTTCGTTTATCGAGTGGACTAAATCTAGAAATCTCGTCAGAAGAAACGGACGTCAGACTGTCAGTGGGCTAATTGCTGGGCCATATCTTATCGGGTAAAGCGACTGGAAAACTGCATATTTGACGAGCCAGACTATGAAATGTAATTGACCTGAGTAGTTCAAGTATCAATAAAGCATAATAATAACAATAAATGACTTATCAGATAATTTCTGGGCAGACAGTAAGCTAGGATCATACACTGTTGGGGAGAGTAGTTGTTATGCAAATTAGCTTATCGAGGATTTATCATATCCCCTCGTCGTCTTCTCCTCCACTACTCACACAAGGGACTTTCTTATAACATTAGTCGTCTAGTCAATACATTTGTGAACAGAAATACATACCAGCTTTCTAAATATTTCCCTTCTACGGTGGCCCATTGTCAACGTCTGATACACGCTCTTCTACATTATCTGTACCACCTAACATGCACGTCGCGTTGTTAGCGTTCCGTTCATGTTGCTACTTCCTCCTCTCGACACTTCTACATTACAACCTTCTAGTCCTTTTCAAATGCCCTAAATTTATACATTTTAAAAAATTCTTCTTGTTCCTATCTTCTTTCTTTCTTCGTTCCATTCCCTCTTCTTCTTTTCATCTCTGAACACTGCGACCATCATACTGACGAGGTCCAGTCACGGTGTTGAGCTAAGACGTATACGACTTCATGAACCGAAACATCTTAACTCTCTCGTACTTATTTTTCCTGTGCCAGCAATATTTCTACCTCTTGCATTATATAGTTCGTTTTATTCTTGCCTTCTTTTCTACGTTCTTCATGTTACTTTCATGCTACAATCATGCGATAATCAGATTAGGTGTCAATGTTCTGGCTGTTTTATTTGATTTATTCGAAGTAAATCGGGCTGAGTCAGCTTCATTGTGGTGTAAGAAC